GACAATTCATGGAACTGCGAGGGGAAGTGGTCTGGAGAGTACTTTCTCCACGAGTCTCCAAAGGCCCTTTGTGCAGACCGTGGAGGTAAGGGGAAGGAGTGGTGCAGTGACTCTGATGGCTTGATAAAATAACTTCTGAAAGTGCTCCGAGCGATAAGACTTCCACATCAAACAGCTTGCAGTAGCACTGTGTGTTTTGGGCCTTTTCCTCTTCCAGAACTCACTGGAAGGGGCTGCTCGAGATGTTTGAGGGGTATATATTAACCCTCCTCCTCACACAAGCATGTACACAACATACTTACTTACACTTGTATTTTTTAAACCCTCAAGACACTGTTTTACATTCTTTCAGGCCCTGAAGGTGCATTAGGAGCCAAGAAAAAGGCAGCAACATAAACCCTGGCCAGCGCCCCGAGTACCTCAGGACTTCTTGTGACGGGGCCAATCCATCTTTGATTTTTCACAAGTTATCCTATTAAAGCAAAGCCCACCATGTGCCACTTGCAAAAGCCTCAGAGGAAGGTCACTGCTGGGCAGGTTACCCAAACACAGTCTCAGTCCTTTACAAGTCAAAGCAGTCTATTACAGGGAGATGGTCACATAAAACCTGTATTTTTTTGCTGGTTGGGATGAGAAAAAAATATGATTAACCTTGACAATGGCCCGTTACAACCTTTTGGCTAGTACCCACACCTTCTATCTATCCGTGTAATTACCTCATAAAGTGTTCAATAAATGGAGGGAGTGCCATCAAAGAGAGATCTATAAATTTGAAAAATCAGTACTGTGGGTTTTATACCACCATCTGCAAATCAGAATATCCATGGCACTGACATCACACTCCTTTAAAATGAACCCCACAACACCCAGCAGTCACATTTCATCAGATTCCCCCAAGCTGTTGATTTCCCCACCGCATGCTTTTCTGACTACCACATTTCATAACCACTCTGTTGCTCCACTAGAGCACATCCATCAGTCAGAAACTCACTCATGGAAATAAACAAACTCCTCAAACCTCAAAGAACTCTGCTAGTCTGTGAGGAGAGGAAAACAGATGACCGAGATAGAGAGAGGGAGGCGTGCTGAATTTGAAAGAGGAGGCAGGGACAATGAGTGGAGTTCAAAGCAGCTTTGCTCCTTTCCTCCTGTCCATCCCGTGCCCCCCAATGGTAAAAGGGTGGACTGGTGGCAGAAGGGGAGGGGGAGGTAGTTAAAAGTCCATCCGCTCACCCCTCCGACCTCAGACGGCAATGAGCAGAAAAACAGCTGTGGGCCACTCACTCCCCACTCCTCCAACCTTGTCCCATGGGCCCGAGACACACATATACAAACACAGTCAGGTACTCTCATAGGATGTGAACCTGTAGATGCACTCCTAACACATGCACCCTACAGCGTTTTCTCTTTCCTCAAACTCACTTACACACACTCAGGTTATATAATAAGAAAGAAATATATAAATTGTGAATAACATTTACCAATTCAAGCTTAGAAAACATTTCAAGGGATGTGATTGGCAGACGTGGCACTGTAAATGGAAAACCAAAGGAAATGTTTAAGTTTTATGTCTCTTTTTGGATATTTAGTATGACAAATCAGTCAGTGGGGTTTTAATCAAGGTCAATCTATTCAGCAGACCTCACCACAGAGCTGGCTGAGTTTAGCTCCAGTAAACTGGGGAACCAAGCTGGTGGGCTGTCTTGGACATCCCACGCTAGCACCACTATGCCACCGTTTTCATCTAAAATCTTTAATTTTGACAAACGTTTTAAGAAAAATGTGGTATTCTTTGTTCAATCGCAACCATAATTTCTATCTAAATAAACAGCTATATAGAGAGAACTAAAGTGAAACTTGGAATTTTCTGTGAGTATGAAAAAAAAATACTCCAAAATGCCACTGGCTGTCTTAACTAAAATCAAAGCCTAAAAGTATGTATGCAATTCTTCAGCGGTATGTATTGTCTTTCAGTTTATCTTTACATTTATTTAGATTCTAAATACATTTTCCAATAGTTTTTCATTTTAGAAAATTAGTTTCTAGCATTAATTTATTACCTTTGTGCTTCCCATTAACTATGTATGAATGCTGATTCCACATCTCAAAAGTGAAGACAATGTTAAAGTGGCTCAAAGCTACTTCTTTCCAATGACCAGCAAGGGCCAGCTTCATTGTGTGCAGAAAAGTCTGATTATATAGATGCCCATGGGAAAAACAACCATTCAGTTCCTGTGATCTATGACCTGAGTGAACACTCAGTGTCACTTCCATGTTTTTTTAAATAAAGTATAGCCCCTATTCGAGTTAAAATGCACAAGAAAGCAGGGGATGTTTCAGGGTGGGCCAAACTTGTCATTAATAAGTCACAATATGAGCCTATGGTATCAGTCAAAGCCAACCGCAGACTTTGAAACTGGGACCTCACTAATCATTGGGTGATGGGATTTTAGCCTAACCCCCAAGAACAAGGCTAATTTCTTCCCACACAGAAGAAGATACAGATAGAATAAAAGAAATTACTCTGACCAAATCAAGCCAGTGGTAATGACAATGGTGATTTTATTTATATAGCACACTTTGTTATATATAAACTCAATCTTCTTAACACAGATGACCAAATCATAAAAAGCTGTGTAGGTTCATTGCCTTAAGATAGCAAAATAAAAAAAATTCAACATGTGAAACACAGGAACTGAAAATTTTATTACATGTCTCTATATATTTCATCCCAAACACAAAAAAGTACAACTTGTTCAATTTAATCAGATCTCTGTGGGATAAAACGAAGTGTAAAAATAAATATATATAGCCACCTATTATCCTTCAATCTCTGTTTAGTTGGTTAAAAATATCTATTACATTAACTGCTAGCAAGATGGATAAAAAAAAAGATCAACCACTCAATGTTCTCCAAATTATTTTACTTCCCAGATGTTTTGGTTTTAGCATAACTTTAGCTTACTGCAGCTGACTAGCTTGATGCTATCAATGGCAGCCATTGATAGCATTCAAGCTAACCAGCAATAAAGGCAATCACTGTACAGTCATTGATTAAAGCCATTAAATAATGCAGGTTATTGTAATCAATACATAAACTATACTACTTAGCTTCCCTGTGTGATCTCTCACAGTAGATACTATGTTTTATCCAGCTAGCTTCCACAAAACTGTAGATAGCTATTGAGAAAATGCCCAAGTCAAGAAAAAACTCAACTAAATGCACATCACTACAAAATTGCAAAGATATCATATTAGAGTTCCATCGTAGTCTGTTATACATATGGAAAATGCATCCCATTTTTGTAGTTGTTTTACAATTCAGTTTTTAGCACTTCAAATCAAGTTGTGTAAAATCAAAAAATAAGTGAAAGAAAGACATAAAAGTTTTATAGAGGATTATGTTTTTATAGGTTAAGAACTGGTTAACTTACAGCTTTCCTGAAGTGGAAGTAGATTCAGGTTCCCCAACTTTTGCTGATTATGAAATTCTCTGTATGAAAGTGAGATCAAACTGTCCCTGAACTTCTTGTATAAACCACTCCAAAAGATGAAGGGAACCGTAGATAATCACAGTATTGAACAAAGGCCAAAGTTATCTGGCGATGCTCTTCCTGTTCTTTCTCACAAAAAGCAGAAGATACTGGTTCTGCCAAGTTGACCTTGAATCCATCTTGCCTTATGCAACAGTCCATCTCTTGGTATGTTCTTCACACTCACACACTAAAATACCTGTTCCACCTGAATGGACTACAGGTATCGGGTCTTGCTAATAGAACTTCATCAATCACATGAGACAAGGACAGCTGTCATCTGTGTGTGTGGGAAGATGCCATCCGGCAAACACGGCCCTTATTACCAAACAGAAACAGAAAAATTAGTCAGGAGGGATAAGAAGACAGCAATGGTCTGTAGTCACCACTTGCAGAACCATTCCCTTTTGGGGGATTGCCTTGTTGTTGCCTCTCGAGTGCACCTGTTGTCACTTTCACTTGCACCAAAGCAGATGAAACTGATTCACAGTGGGTTATGCTTCCTAACAGAACAGATTGATATCCCTTAAGTTTAAGTGACTTTGTGTTATACTGTGATAATTGAGGGTTCCTTTATATTTAAACTGGGTATCTTACGACAATACTGTCCTAAAAGTTGTGCTTTATGTTGCTGTCAGAATGACATAAAGTACACTTCAGTAACAACTCAAAGTTGAAGTGTTCCAAAATTGTGTTTACTGGTTATGTAGTGTTAGAGATAGAATAGCATGGACGTTTTTTTAGCATTACCTGCAGTTACAAAGTAAATAGGAAGAAGAGCTATTATTACTCAAGGGTTATTAGCTGTAATGCAATATTTGCAGTAAAAGCACACAAAGTAGATCAAATTTTACTGTTATAACTCTGTATCAGATAAATCGGATAGTTTTTACCACTAAACCTGTAAAAATCAGATATAAAAGCTGTTTATATAAAGTTTATTCTTTCTCCAACTACCAATGGTACTACTTCTGTAACAGTTCTAACAGAGTCAAGTGTTTGTCCCACTTTGCTGCTTTAATTACACTTGAAATTATATATTTTCAGATAAAAACACACACACACACAAACACACACACACACCTCTTCTCATGTCTCAAAAAAAAAAAGAAAAAAAAGATCATACTGCCTGGAAAAACTGAAATTTTAGAATTTATTTTATCAGACAAGGATAATTTTAAAAAGTATGAAATTTCTTTCCATGGTTATTTAGTATTTATGATTCTGATGTATTTTGCTACACTTCTGCTGCCTTTACTCGTGTTGGAGCTCCATAAGTGTAACAAGTGTATACAGTTTTCAGTAAAACCTTAATTATTCCGTCCATATTGTAACTGTATGCATAATGATTTAGCCTGAAGTGTAAACAGATGGTGTCTGTGCTGATGCTGTTAACAGTGATGCACATGATAATGAATCAAATTAACCTGTTAAACACTGAGCTACGAAACGAGCACCAGGCCAGACTGAATTACACAGTATTGTCTTTAATCACAACAGAGTGGGAAAGTCTACAGCCTACATGGCCAAGACTCCCTTATTTCAGGTCCCAAAACATATGCACTTATAGGTCTCACTAACACCCTCCAGTGTCCATGTTTGGAACTACAGTCCAGTTCCTGGAGCCTCTTCTCTCACCTTCACAGTGAAGCATCACAAAGCAACACTGAGGAGGTTGAAGTCCTGACAAGAGAGTGGAGACATGGAAGAGTCCTTCTAGCTCTTCTTTAGTTGATTTTTATTTTTTAATGATTCTAGCAAGCCCTTGATCCTTTCACTGGCCGGCTCCCTCCTCCTTTTCTTGCGACTTTTGATCCCTGCGACCTGCGAAGGCAGAAGGAGGGTAGCGAGTCCCCAAGGTGTGGGTGCACCTTTGCCTCCCGCACCACCACCTCTTGGTGTGCTGGTTTCACTCTGCTGGAGCAGCCAGGCGCTCTCCTGGCACAAAGCCACGAATCGGTCGAGTTGGCTGGCGTTGACGTTCTTGCTGACGTTTAAAGAGGCTTCAAACGGGTTCTGGATGTGCAGCGGGGCCACCTCTGGTTTGTTCTGCTCCTTGCCCTGGAGGGAGAGGGAAGGGGACAAGGCAGGTTGAAAACACATTCGTGAGCAGCAGCAGCTGTAAGTGTAGACCTTCGTGTCCTGTGCGTCATGGTCCATCAATTTCGTTGGTCATGGACTCAGCCCTTTGCTGCTCTATCTGGGGCACACATAGCTGAGTAGAACACCTCTCTGCAGGGTAGCAGATGAAGAAGGGAAATGGACATGTCTTTTTTGACTTGGGGAAATGAGCAGAGTTTTTTGAATTTACCCAAAAAAAGAAGGAAAAAAATTAGCTTAGCCTGAAATAAAAAAAAACAAACATATATGGTCTGTATCTGTCCAAATGCCGTGGCCATCAAATAAAGTATCAAAATGTGGGTCAGAGGGAAGTCAAGAAGCTTCCGTGGTACTTTGCATGCTGTATCCTGCATAATGCCTGACAGTAAAGGCACAGGGGGATAAAGGACGGGCAGGAAGGATTAAAGATGGCAACATAAAGCCATCAGTCAGAAAAGGGGAGTGAAGCGGTGAATTGTAGCACAGTAAAGCAGATTTATGGTGGTTGCTCCACTGTTGAAAGCCGATAGGCAAGGGTCACAACCACAGTCTATCTGAAAGCTTCCTGTGCTGTAGGGAGGCTATGTCAAACTTCACATTAGTCTCATTTATTAAGCTGGGGTCTCTCTTTCCCACGGGTATCGATTCATTAAACTCTAAGCTCTAGCAAAATCCCCGCATCTCATATACTGTGCCATCAAAGCATGAAGAGCTACTTTATCAACAAAATTTCTACTGGGATGAGTAATAGGGAGTAAGAGGCATATTATTCAGCACTGAACATTTTAAGCAGTAGGTTAATTAACTATCGCGTATAGACAGAGAGGAAAAATTAGCCCCAAAAACTCCCAACGATGAAACACTGTGACTTCCATCGAGGATGTTCCCTGGTTGCCAGTAGAAAGTATTACGCAGGCATAAACAGCCACATCAGGATAAATGTGGGTATAAAAAGAACAAATATGCATTTGTTTGCAGTTAATGTGACAGACCTCCTAATTGGGATCTAAAGCTCAAGGGCGCCAGGCTCCTGTGGGGCCGGCATCAATCACATGAGACGAGGACAGCTGTCATCTGTGTGTGTGGGAAGACGCCATCCAGCAAACACGGTCTTTATTACCAACAGATTTCCCTGCCGGAGCTCAGCTGGGTGCAAGAGTTGAAAGAAGACTGAACTTCTCTCTGTGTGCGTTTTAAGTTTTATTCCAGTTCCTTAGGTGTGAGGATTTGGACTAACACAGACACTGGACTGACTTTAAAACCATATTAATTTTTTGTCACATTAGCATGTAGATGTGGGAATCCCCCGACATCATATGATATGATATTGTCAAAATACTTCACACACAATACAATATTATTGTATTGCAATAACTACAAATGATGCCCTTAGGGTGTTCTGATATTGTCGTGTTGGTGCTGTTCCCAGATATCATGAAAATGTTGTTCCAGGTTCAACATTGCAAGTGACCAATCACATTGTTCTGACGTCAGTCTTTTGCGCGCCAAGCCATTCGTCCATTTATGAAACTCCAATATTGCAAGGGCAATATCAATTCTGCTTACCGTTTATCAAAGGGTTAGGGTTAGGGTCAGGGTCCGCTGATCGGCGGACAGAGGCGGTTTCTCGCAGCTTAAGTACAGTTTTTTGTTTTACGGCGGTTTCTCCCGAAGTCGCAAAAGTATGACGTCACAACATTCTGATTGGTCACTTGCAATGTTGATCCTGGAACAACATTTAGTATGATGATCTGGGAACAACACCAACAAGACGATATCAGATCGTGCAATGCCCTTAAAGCTAAACTTTGTCACTATCTATTTTATCCACTAAGATACTCTGCTTGGAGAATGCACTCCTACTGTGGTAATAACTACCTACTGACATGGTTTTTATGCTTTTGTGTTGAGAAAGAAGATAAAGAAGGACTCTGTAGCATAGTAGTAGAGATGAGGACTGCTGAAGAAGCATAGCCGTCTGTCTGATGGATGCATGCGTAGTGCATCAGTTGCTAAAACAAAACAAAAAAAACAAAAACCGGCAGATGCTACAGAATTTACATCACAATCAGAAACTGAGATAATCACGGAAACTGTAACACTGGAATAAATGACTGCGAGGATGCACAGCTCAATTAAACGATGTTAAAACTACCTGCATACAGTTATGCCAAATGTGTATGTATGTGTGTGCCCCACCATAACTCTGCAACGACTGTGCAGTACTGCAGAGGTCAGATCCACTAATAAATCCAAGCCCACACTGAAGGACCCCAGTTGAGCCTTTTTACGACATATGCAGCAATGCTGACAGTATATCAGAACACTCGGAGCCATCGCGGCTGTTTTTCAGTTTAACAGTCCAGCTCCGTTCAAACGTTCCTTTAGACAGGAGCCTCAGTGTGTTTAGAAAACTTGATTTGAAGTCTAAATGGCAGCTTTGAAGTAGAGGGCTATTTGCCTTGTCCGAAATGTTTTACAAGCGTTTGTCAATCTAAAAGTTTTGCTGTAGCTTTGGCTGCTCTTTGCCGATTTTAGATTTTAAACTGGAGCTCCCACTTAATTCACATTTGCTCCCTTTTGAATGTGAGGAATTTTCGGGATATCTATTTATTTATTCATGCAGTTGGCATGGAGAGAAAAAAAGAGCACAGGAAGCGATTGTTGGTCTCATTATTATTTCATTAGCAGAGGGAGAAATCCTTTGTACTGACTGATACAACATGAGTAGAACTTCCTAAGCAACTCAAAAATCAGCTTGTTTGCAGCATTTCCAAAATTATGCTTATGATACTTTTCTCTTTGTAGAATATGGGTTTTTTTCCAGCTCTCAGAAGTGGACATACAGTGGGGCAAAAAAGTATTTAGTCAGCCACCGATTGTGCAAGTTCCCCCACTTAAAATGATGACAGAGGTCAGTAATTTGCACCAGAGGTAC